AAACACAGTACACCGTAGTGACGTTACAGGCAAGATTGAAGATTAAATTGATGTGGTAATCCCGCCTTTGAAAGTAGGGCTGCCAAGTGGAGCGAAAGTGAAGGAGAAATGAAAGATCGTCAAAAATATAGGGTTTATCAGCCCGGTGCTAGGCGGCGGTGAAGTCACAACAGGCAGCCACGGAGAAGAGATAATGAGAGTGGCGGAAAGTGGTAGAGATTTCGAGTAGGGAGAGCATAGCTCAGTGAGCAGGCAAGATTCGAATGGTGGGTGGGCCCTGATAGTTATGGCAAGATTCGCTCAAATTCTCTAGCGGCTAGCGCCAGCGACGTATTCCGATGTGCGAAGGTGGTACGTCCCCCGCAGGTGTGTACCAACCGCTTCTGCTCACCGGAGCAGTACTTCTGACTGAAGGCTGACCCTGGACCTTGCTCTGAAGACACTGGTCAAAATCGAATTTGTGTGGCACATTGTTTTAACTAGGAAGGAAGTGCCATGAGAAGCTTTCAGGAAGAAAAGGCAAAAAAGCACCACAAAAAAACACTGGAATTCCCATTCTGAGGGCTGACCTGGTATGGCGGAGAGATACAGCACCGCGAGGAGGGAGAACATCCAAAAGAGCACCTCGTTTCGATAGGGCGCAACTGCCTAGTATGATACGATTGATAAGAGTGACAGCGGTCGCTGCTGTCAAGCGTAATCATGCTTGTCGCACCCTTCCATGTCGCGGCGGTACCATCACCACCTTGTGATTGGAGGTTTTACCACCTCACTCAAGAAGACAGTTCCTCTGAGGATCTACTCACTAGCTGGGCTGTTGAATGCGTTGGCGACAGCGCGCCTTTCGAGTTTTTTTTTTTGATCTGGAGCGAGAACGATTCCGTAATCGCCACCCCATCACTAACATCTCTTGATTTTGAGCTGTAAATATGCAATACTTGGATAGTATAAAACGTTTCTAACAATATTCAGTATGTTAAAGTTGCATGAATTGCGGCAGTAGTTCGATCGAAAATACTTGTGAGAAGGCGAATTTTGATTGCTTTGACTGCAACCCAAAAGCTTCGAGGCGGTCTCTTCGGTAAAATGTTCTTTTGCTATACATGTAGGTCCATATTTACTTCTAATACTACATTTTTGCCGATGTGTTTATGAAAATATGGAGAAAACTAAGAGTGAACCGAATTGACATATTCGTAGGTGTTGGGGCTCTTCGCTACAGCGAAGCATATAGCCATTCGGTTAACTTCGCCATGCACAATCATACATATTTGCGATTTTGCCTCAGTATTTGTCGAAAAGCATCGCACCTCCACTGTGAAGGAGTGGTTTCGCCAGCATGGCGTGCTTTCAACGGAGGGACAATTCACACCACATGTCCTGAGCGTCATCGAAACACTATGGAAAGGTAGGGAAACCTTCGGCAGGAAAAAAGAGCCAGGAATATGGAAGAGAAAAACTCGTCAAATTTGAGGAAAATTGAGGAGGTTGTCCCAATAGACAGTGCAATCAGTGATCGATTCCACACTCATACCCGCCGAGATAACTAGAAGTAAGAATCAAAAAGAATTGAATCTGCTCAATCTGTTTATTCCTGAACATATACTTAAATTGGAACAATACAGAGAAGATTAGCATGGCCCCTGCACAAGGATGACACGCAAATTTGTGAAGGCGTTCCAAAAAAATTTACTGAGTGTCTCAGGGTGGTGTTA